TAATAATATCGTTTTCTGTCTTTGGAACTATACGAAATTTGGACAAGTGTACAGACTTTAATAAAAGCTTTGCTATCGCTTTGATGAATTTAAAACCAAATAAAACCACGGAAGCTAAACTACCTGAGAAAAGGAATGCCAAACGTTCAGGACGTTTCAAACAACAAGAAAAAGGTTGCATCAGAGTCTTCCAACATTACCAGTTCCAGGAACCCCGGCAAATTGGGAGGAAGAATTTGAAATGTATGACGATAAAAGTGAACCCGATGATGTATCATAGCACCCCATTTCATCCAACAAACTGAATTAAATGATTTAGTTCGAGACCTTAACTTGTCCAAAGAACACTCTGAACTTTTAGGTTCTCGATTACAACAATGGAATTTACTAGCCAGTGGAACCAAAGTTACAATATTTAGGAACCGTAACTAAGAGCTATCCTCGTTTTTTACTATGCAGCATAAAATGTGAATTTGTGTTAATCCAAATAGTGTTATGGAAAAATTAGGATTTACACTTAACCCAGAACAATGGCGTTTGTTTATAGATTCTTCTAAATCAAGTTTAAAAGCAGTACTGCTCCATAATGGCAACAAAAGACCAAATATTCCTCTTGCACATGCAGTTGCTATGAAAGAAACACACGAAAGTACGTCGGTGATCCTAAATGCAGTAAGCTATGATACATATAAGTGGTAAATATGTGGTGACTTAAAAGTCATCGGATTATTACTAGGTCTTCAGGGAGGATTTACAAAATTTTGCTATTTTCTTTGTCTTTGGAACAGTAGAGCAACACAGAGCCATCACCAAGTTAAAGAATATTCACCAAGAGATCAGTACATTCTAGGTCAAGCTAACGTAAAGTTAGCTTGCAGATCTCGCTGATCCCAAAAACGTTCTGTTACCTCCGTTACATATTAAACTGGGATTGATTAAAAATTTCGTTAAAGCATTAGATAAAGAAGGAGATGCGAGAAGAACTACTTAAAAATTACTGCAAAATAGGCTGTCACTTTCTGCACTCCGATTTAAATTCAGCAAGAAAAAAGGTTCCACCAGGATATTCTCACAATGGAGCAACGCTACCAAGGAAGATGGGATGCAGCAATGATGGGAGATTACTGTTGGTTCCTCATGAGAGAAAGTGATACAGAGTATAAAAGGAAATCAGCGTTTGCAAAGAATTTGTGTATAAAAGACTTACCATAGTTTTTGTTTCTAGTTCTGAACTTATTTATATATAGTATAAAAGAATTTTCATAATAAATAACATTTGATGCATTCTATAACTCAAAATATATACGTGGTGAGAAATTTTCGTGTGTGAATTCGCAATCAAGATCCTTTAAACCCCCAGGTATAGCCCGGTTTTTTTTTAAATTTGTTGACTAGTGTTATCATTGTTTTTTTTATATAATATATTTTATTTCTAATTTGACTAAATCTATTAACGTACAAAATATGCGGTCAAAGAAATCATAATAGTCCATGTTGGGAGACCGCTCCCGTAGGAAAAATGTTTCTGATCCCGTTTCTTTGTGGATTGTTGTTCAAAAATGTCCACTTTAAACAAATCTGACGGCGCCAGGCGAAATTTTTGTACAGAAATTGTTTAAACAAGTTTTTTAAACAAATTCCAAAAATCACCTTTTTTCTTCGGAAAATAATTTTTTTCAGGTTTTTGTATCATTTTAAGCAAAAAAGGTTTGTTGTTATTTTTGTCTAAAATTAACAGTTTTCGAGTTATAAGCGATTTAAAACCTAAAAATGCGAAAATGCGCATTTTCACAAATTAAAATAAGCTCCGATTGCTTTTCATAATCTTGTAAATAAATGTTTAAACTTCAATTTGGGCACTTGGCAACCTCAACAGTAATAATTTACGTAATAGCTTTCAAGCCTCGAAAATGCGTTATTTCGCATTTTTCAGATTTTAAATCGCTTATAACTCGAAAACTGTCTACTTAAGAGAAAAATGACAAGATACCTTTTTTTGTCTAAAATGACACAGAAACCAAAAAAAAATATTTTTCGGAGAAAAAAGGTAATTTTTGGAATTTGTTGAAAAAAATTGTTTAAACAATATCTGCTCGAAAATTTCGCTCGACTCTATTTTCAGATTTGTTTAAAGCGGACATTTTTTAACCAGAATTGCAAAGAAACCGAATCAGGAACGTTTTTCCTACGGAAACGGTCTCACAACATGAATTGTAACACAATTTCACTTTCACCTACCCATTCATACATTAGAATTATTCTGAAATACAAGAAAAGACAAACTAATTAATCGTAAAGTAAATAAACTTTGACCCACGACCCATCGATAAAAATACACCGTCACCCCTCAATAAAGTATCTCTTGGGCCAGAAATAGTTAGAGATTGAAGAAGAAGAGGCCGCTTTGTCTCCATTCGTTGAAATCGGTAATGTAGATGCTAATCGCGGCATCGTGAGAACTCCACTTCGTGACATTTCATGTTTGTAACTAACGCTCAGAGCCGCATTGAGTGTTGCATTATGGGATTTCTTAATAATATTTATCAAATTCACACCAAAGGGTGAATGAAACTATAATTTAAACGCAAATAATTGACAAATACATATTATTCCTTAGATCATTTAGAAAATGCTATCAAATTGATGAAAATATACTTGCAATGACAATCATAACCTCAAAGTTACCAAAATGGGAATAAATTAAAAAATTATTAAAAATATATTAAAATGTATTATTTCGACAACCTTTAAAACTGCATTAATAAATAGTAGAATGTAAATAACATATGCGTGAAAGAACAGAAAACAGAAAATATTGGATGAACATGGCATTAAGGGAAAAAGGAAGAACCAACAAAATAACGAACAACAGTATAAAGACATAATAAAGTTGCTACGAACGCTTGGCCTCTACAAGTCAATTACACCTTTGGTAACTTTTCTGGCGCCTCTTGCTGAAAACTTTTCCAGTCAAAAGAATCTGAACACCTATCATCATCTAATCATCTCTACGCATACTGAACATCGGGATCATCCAGCCTTGTTCTCTACGCGAAGTTTCTGTCCATCCTGAGCTGGTCTTAGGAAATCTGTGTTTTTGTCACTTAAGTGGAGAAGGAAAGCAGAGTGAATCATAGCGCGGTGAACTTTTGAAATACGCGCCAATATGTGCACGGTTTTTAGCTTATATATGACAAGGAATCGAAAAGAGTTGTACTTTGGCGTTGAAGTAGGTTACATTTGCAAGAAGAAAAACATAATATGAATTGAAATTCTTCACATATTTCTTCCCAAACATTATCACTCCCCATCTGGTTGTGATAGTTCTGATTCAAAACATCATGCACTTCTTTATAACTTTGAACAATCAAAATAAATGTTTCGTCGTCCATAATCTCCTCACTGCAGATCAGTATCTACAGGTATAACAAATACCAACTATACATTAGCGATATTAGTGAAGGTGGTTACGTTTTTCTCCGCTCTTCGCCTCGCGGTGCAGACCACAAGGTAGCGACAACCTTCATTCTTTGACAGATGTATCGCCCCAGTAAAACTACACGCCAGACAGTGTCCTTAAATCAAATCAGACTGGAGATAAGTTGAGCTTTGCATCGAAGCTTTCGAATGCTAGCCGGGTATCCAAAAGAAAAGCCTTATCGGAACCATAAAACCGACCAACAGCACAACCATGCAATTAACTCAAAAATACCGTCACATTCGTCGCCTCGTGAGCGAACGACACACGCGTTTCACCTGAGTGAGTGAGTAAAGACAATGGCGCAGTCGACAAAAATCTACTCCATACTCCATTACTACTATAATATTTTCACATTAATTAATTTTTGCCGAAAAAAATTCTGGTCTAACAATATGAAAACTTCTAATAAAAAAATATAAACTTTCCTTTAGAAGGTTCTAGTTACTGAATACTCTTGATCGGTATGTATATTGTTAATAAAGCATTGAAGACGGCGGTCCGATAAGTACCTAGTCCCAGCGCTCGATGGCGTCACTATCTCAAGGGAAACCTACTGTCGTGTAATGCATTCTCGTAGACTGCTAATGTCAAAATTTCAGCCTAATCGGACTCGGAGTTTTGTTTTGACCGCGTGTGAAATTGGGCGGGGCAGTTAGAAACATGAAAAAAAGCAATATCGGTCGCTGATTCAATTCTTGTTCTTGGAAGGTAAATAGCGCAGCGAAATCAAAGAGTGCTTGGATGCTGTGAACAGTGACTCTTCTCCTTCGATGGCAACCGTCAAAAATTGTTTTAACAAGTTTGAACTTGATCGCAAGTCGGTTTTTGATGAGCCAGGCCTCGGTGCCCCGAAAATGGCTACCACCAATCTCTTCGTAACCGTCCATGAAACATGGATCCAACAGAGACCAAAGAACAGTCGAAACAGTGGACGGCATCCGGCAAATGTGCTGTTAAGAAGGCGAAGACTGTCTTATCGACAGGAATGATGATGACCACAATTTTGTGGGATTCACAAGGGGTGACCTACATTGACTACCTTGAGAAGGGCAAAACGGGGTCATAGGGCTCTGCTCTACATAAAACGACCCCATTTAGCAAAGGAAAACGTACCATACTACTATACCACAATGACAATGCCCCTGCTCATACCTCCGCCATCGCCATGGCGAAATTGCTCACCTTGGGCTACGAACTGTTGCTGCATCCACCGCATTCTCCAGATTTGGCCCTGTGCGGCTTCTTTTTGTTTCCACACTTAAAAGTTCCCCCGCTTGCCGGGACGAAAAAGTCGAATGAGGAGGTCATCGCTGCCACGGAAACCTACTTTGCAGACCTCAAGAAAATGTATTTTTCAGACGGATTAAAGAAATTAAAGAAATTGGAGCATGTTGAGAAATAATTTTTTCACTTAACCAACCACTTTTCCAAAATTTTCCAAAATTAATTTGTAATCAAATTTATATAAATATTACTAGTAGAATGCATCACATATTGGTATAATTTAATCTAAAATATTCTACTTACCGGTATCCATGGCAACTAGGCTCAAGATATATTCATCCTGAATCTCCCTGTCTAGTGCCCGCAACAATGAAATGTCTCCAGTAGAAGCATTGATCCTGAAGATATCAGTATCACCTTCCTTGATGAAATACTTCACCAAATTGTTAAACGGTGGTGTATCAGCATCGTAAGCCTTCACGGTAATGACGTAACCACCGTTCGGTGGTATGGTGTTCTCCATGACGTAGGCCAGGTAAGGTGAGTCCAAGAACGTGGGAGGATTGTCGTTAATATCAGAAACAGATATCGATATTTTGGCGGTGTCCGAACGAACAGCAGCTCCATTTATATCTCCTGCACAGTCTTCGGCGCGGACGATCAATTCGTAGCGCGATTTGCGCTCATAATTGAGGTTTTTGGCTACTCTAACCACACCTGAATCTTCAGCTATGGTGAAATCTCTGTTGGCATCACCTGAGCTGATGGAATATCTCACACGACCGTTCAGATTGTCATCAATATCTGTTGCAGAGACCTGCGGAGAAGTAAACTAAACTTTAGCAACCAACCCACAAAAACAATTTAAAAGGCTAAAATATTCTCAGTTAAACATTGCTATTCATGTAATCATACTATGGTAAATTGTTCAATAAAAATTAGAAGTAGCGAATAAAATCATAGACGAACAACTTAATAAAAGCAAACGAACACAAAAAGGAATTAAATTGAGAGGAAATGGGATTTAAAAAAAATAAATAAAGCTTTACTAACCTGTAGGACACTCGCGCCGATGGAGGCGTTTTCTGATATGGATGCACTATATTGCTTAGGATCGAAAATGGGACTGTTATCGTTCTCGTCCAATACTTTAACGAATAGTCTCATATTGGTCATCTTAGGAGGATCCCCTCTATCTCTCGCTGTCACGACTAACGTATAGTTGCTCGTCATTTCCCTATCGATTTTTCCTCCGACGCGCAGCAATCCGTCCGCAGGACCCAACGAGAAAACTCCATTGGTTACGGGATCATTCGAGAGGGAGTACTCGATGTAGCCGTTTCGTCCCTCGTCTTTATCGACTGCCTTGATTGCCATGACAACGGTGTTGATGGGGATGTTCTCAGCGACGGAGGTTTCGTTGGGGGTGATAAATTCGGGAGCCATATCGTTGACGTCCTTCAGAAGAATTGTAACCTGGAAATAAAATATATCTTTCTAACAAGTGTTCCTACTAGACAATTCTCTTATGATATTTTTAAAAAGAACTAATTTATGATTCAACTAACAGATTTAAACCAATAATAGTCCAATCAATGAAGGTAAAATACAGCATAATCGTATAATTTTCTGGACCTGCACCAATTTGTATTAAAATTTGGATATAGGTTTCTACTTTCCTTCAACTTCAAAGTTGACCCTGTGACGTAGGGTTCCACAAAAATTTATTTTAACTCTTATCACTACGTGTTTTTCGGCTGATTGCCTTTCTCAAGTGATCTATTTTTGGCATACGTTTACACTCTATAGTCTCTAATGAAATAGGTTGAGGAGGGCAGAACTGTTTGTCTCAAGTTGGTCATTCAGAATTATATCTGTGTTTTTTAAATTATTGATTTCCATAGATTCTAACAAAGATAGCTTAAGGCCTTTATTTTGAATGCCAAGAATTTTAAATTCGTCGATAAAAGAATGATTGTGATCTAGAAGGTGAAGTGCGTATGTAGAATCTGTTTTTCTATTATTAAAAGCCCTTTTATGTTCTGCTATTCGTTTGTTAAAGGTTCTACCAGTTTGACCGATGTCAATGTCGATGACACTGACACCATCTGTCGTCTTTTTGTCTTATGGTATGTCCAGCGAACTTCCACTTAAGTTTTGCTATCTGCGTTGATACATCGATCACTTTTGTTTTGTTGCGGATGTTCAGCATTTGTCTTTCCATGGCTTTTTGGGTCTTTGCTATTTTTTCCATGTTTTCCTTTGTAAACGTCCAAGTTTGAGAACCGTAAGTGAGAACATTGGTTGAAGACTCTTGTTTTTAAATATTAAGGGTATGTTCTATTTTTTAGTATAGATAGTTTTAGTAAGTTAGGCTGGTTTAAAATGCTTACTTTAAAAAAATTCAGTTTGAAATTTGGGGAAGATTTTTGTATTTATACAAAAAATTCCCTTTTGTTTTCAAATAAATCGAAAACTACATATTGAACTGCATATAGTAAAGTAAAACTATAGCACCCTATAGCACAGGGTCATATTTAAAGTTAAGGTGCAGACTCAGAAAATCATGCGTGAAATGGTCATTAACTGGATTATAAATCATGTTTTATCTTGAAGGTATAATATAACTTTAAGAAAAGGCGAAAAAATTATTATCATTGTACAAAAACTTACCTGCACTGTAGATGACAGTCTCCTTTCCGGAGCAACAGCTTGATCAGTTGCTGTTACCACCAAATTATAAACAGCTTGTGATTCTCTATCCAACAATTTCCTCGTTACGATAGAGCCATTTTGTAAAATTTCGAATTCGTCTTCTTCATTTCCAGAAGTAATTGAATACACGATTTGACGATTTTTTCCTAAAACAAAAAAAAAAGATTTAATATTTTTCTTTTATTTATAAGTTTGTATCAACAGAATATACACACTTCTATTTTATTAAATAAATATTGAAAATTACGTGTAATTGGTGATTTACTACATATTTAACCTTAATTTTGCTAGCGTTGTTTGTATCCGGGTTGCACAGACCGCGACCATAGACCTCATGCAGTTCTTACTTGATTTTTTTAACGACCCGCAAGCAGCCATTATTTTAAAGCATAGCTTAAACAGCGTCAAATTGAAAACGTTCTTAAAGATATTAAAAGCGAATAAAAGGCTAAAGAATCAAGTTTAGCGCAGATTTCAAGTCATGAACATATCAAATAGGTATATAAACAGCTTTGAAATATTGCTTTAAGATTAAAAAAAGCACTGATTTGTTTGGTAATGTCTAGACTTCGGCAAATATGCATATTGCATATTTTGCATATTGTGCATATTTTATGCAAATATTTCATATTTTGGCATATTTGTATAAAAGTTTGCATAAAGTGCATAAAAGTTCAGATTTTTATACTGTATTTGAAAATTTTTAAACATACCAATTTATTTCAATTCTTGTATAAAATTTTGTAGTCATTTTAATCAAGAAATGATCTAAGTACGTAATCTCTACAGGTACAAAACATTTACAATTTCAAAGAAGATCAATTTAAGTAGCCCTCAACATTCTTAGAAAGTCTCGGTCACTGAGGCATTCAGTTATTGGATAATCGCTAAGGGTTCGCTCATTTGCATTTTATGATCTAATCCCCAAATCTATCTACAATTTATTGTATCTTAACAGCAGGTAAACGGCTAATAGTTTTGTTCCTAATTTAGGGATTTTCCAAAATCTCCCAGTTTATTGAATTAGGTACCTAAACATTTCTAATTTGATGCTCAGATTTGTAAATCATTTTTGTTTTGATATTCAAAGCGTAAACACTCGTTGTGCGTAACAAAAAGGAAGATTGTGATTTTATAATGCCTAAAACAACCAGTGCTTCAACTTGGATTAAACCTTATAAAGAGCTGTCTATGGATATGGGAAAAATCTACTGTTCAGTCTGTGGCAAAATTGTAAGTATCTAATATTTTCTATTAAATATCTAATATTTCATACATACAGGGTGTTTCCAAATGACACTTACAACGTTTGACTGTAGATACTTCTCGAAAAATTGAACAAAACGATATAGTTAATGAGGGGTCAAACTTATTTACTTTTCGAGATACAGGGTGTTAAAATTAAAAAAAATTAAATTCTTTTAGTTAATAACAACAATAACTTTAAAACCAATAAACGTATTTACTTGAAATTTAGTACTCGTAGGTTGTTTTTAAATGAAAAATAGCTTCCTTTAGTGAGAAAAAATTGTCCATGGTACAATACAATGGTGTGTATTTAGAAAAATTTTTCACCTTTACTTTTTTTTATGAAGTCAGCTATTCTAAAACACAATTATTTTTATTGTAATTGAATTAACAAAAAAAAACTTTTGTTGAATTTTAAAATAAGTTATATGATGTACTAATGGTTAGTAACAAAAACTAATTTGTGGATTAATACTGCATTTAAAACACTTAGCGAGTGTTTTTTTTTCCAAACCAGTTATTTGATTAACCAAAAACACCTTGTATATTTTTATATTTTAAAGGTTGGGTTAAAATAAAGGTTTTTATTTTTATTTATAGATAGCATGTGAGAAGAAATTTCAGATAGACCAACATGTGAGAACTGCTTCACACATTGCAAAAAAAGGAAAAATAGGAGGAAAACATCAAACTTCAATGGCTAAATGTTTCCAATCTACTTCAAAAAAATTAGATGAGCAAGAAACTTTTAATGAAGACTTGTGTCGCGCATTAGTGTCTGCAAACATACCGCTTTCAAAATTAGCAAATGTAAATTTTAGTTCGTTTCTAAAAAAATATTGCAAACTTAATGTTCCAAGTGATCGGTCTCTAAGAAGAAATAATGTGAACGGGCTATACTCGTCGGTGTTAATTAATATTAAGGAAGAAATTGCAGATAATTATTTTTACATATCTGTAGACGAAACCACTGATTCCTCAGGAAAGTATATTGCTCATTTATTGATTGGTGTTCTTAAAGAAGATACCTTACCAAAATCTCATCTTATTTCATGCCAGCAACTTGAGAAAACAAATGCTTTAACAATTTCGCGTTTTATACAAGAAACATTAGCAACTTTTTTTCTTCCGACAACTATTCCTTCTAATAAATTACTGCTTATTTTATCGGATGCTGCTCCTTATATGGTGAAAGCAGGACAAAATTTAAAAATATTTTTCCCAGATTTAATACATGTTACTTGTGTAGCGCATGGATTAAACAGAGTTGCAGAGGAAATACGAAAAAAGTTTCCTCTTGTAAATACCATGATATCCAGTGTCAAAAAAGTATTTCTTAAATCTCCTATAAGAATTCAACTTTATAAAGAAATGCTACCTAACATTCCTCTTCCACCACAACCTATTTTAACGCGATGGGGAACATGGTTAGAAGCAGCTAATTTTTATGCAGATCATTTTGTTAAAATAAAGAACATAATTGATACGTTAACAGATGAAAGTTCCCAATCTCTTTTGGATTCTAAACAAACTTTTCAGAGTAACTTGCTTCAACAAGAACTTTCATTTATAAAATCAAATTTTAGTTTTGTTCAAAAAACAATTACTCAGTTAGAATCACCAAAACTGTCATTGTTCGAAAGTACAGCATTAATAAAAGAATTTGCGTCATGTTGTCGGAACGTTAGAGGTAATATTGGAAAAGATATTTTAAAAAAATTTGAAGCTACTATGGAAAAAAATAAAGGTTACCATATTCTTTCTGAAGTAGTCAGTGTTCTAGCTGGAAATATTTCGGAAACAATTAATTTAGAACCAAATGTTTTGGTTAGTTTGAAAAATGCTCCCGTTACATCAGTTGATGTTGAACGAAGTTTTTCCATATATAAATATATGTACTCAGACAGAAGCCACAAGTTTTTGTTAGAAAATTTTGAACACCACTTGGTCATTTATTGTTACCATAATTCTAAATAAGTTTATTCATACTTAAAAATGATGTAGTTACTTAAAATAAATGTAAATCTTAATGAATAGTAGGAAATATTTAGTTATGTACACTTTTTTTTTAAATAAAATTGTTACTATTTTACGATTTTTTTATTTATTTGTATGCATATTTTGTAAAATATTTGCATATTTTCGGGTAAACACGTGCATATTCATGCGCATATTTGCATATTTGCCGAAGTCTAGTAATGTCTTTACTAAAAAAATTCACTTGAAATAGTCCATGTTGAATTTACGTTCTAAATTTATCTAAAATAAAACTCTTCCTGATTGCGTTCTGCTTGAAATATTGAGCTATTGAGTTCAAAATATTTTTTGAAGACATAATGCCTATGGATATCTTCGTAGATTGCGTTTTTCAAACAATTAAAATCTTAAGATGCGCAGATAGGTCGCTGTGCTTGAGGTACTGAGTTTGTGTTAGCGTAAAGGCACTTATTACAGTGATGCTTCTTATATGTATATGCAGAAGAGGACCGTTCAATAATATATCTAAGGCTGCAGTGGGGCATATTGGCATTGCGCGCTTAATTCCGAAATATACGAGTCTTTGCACCTTTTGTAAGTCGATCATTGCCTTTTCTAAGAATGATCGTGTTGTCGCATTGTCTCTATGATCGGAGATTGAATCGGTAATTTTCGGAGAAGTTCCTGAAAGTCTGCTTTCCAACATCAGATAGTTTCTAGGTTTAAAGCACCTTGCAAGCCATCAGCATTAAAACTGACACTATGGATCAGAACAGAGATGCTTTGACTCGTTCTTGAGAATATTGTACTGTTCTTATATATAGCTGTTTTCAAATGCAGCGGCGGAAATTTATCGAACTACTAATGTTTAATGTAAAAAACAGTTGTTCTAAAAAATACTTATAAATTACAATAGATCAAATTGTTGAAGATAAAAGACAAGGAACAAGGTATGGGAAAGTATGGAGTTAGTGAGAAATGAAAGGATAAAAAAACTGGTTCAGTATGATATTTAGGGGAAGTTCTCTATTATACAGAGGATAAATTACATCTTTGAGGCTTACTCTGTCAAATGCTTTCAATTACTTTTGAAGTTAATCAGACACAGAAATGCTGGTCTATTATACTCTAGTGATTTCTCAGTAATTTGCTTTATGACGAATATTGCATCTGTACAGGATCTTCCAGTACAAAAACCCTGTTGTTCATCTGTTAAACTTATCCTCTGATTCATTAGTTCTTGTAAAATTTTAGTTGTAAGGTTTAGAGTAGTATTTAACAAGTTTACAGCTCTGTAGCTTTCTCGCTGTTTTTTGTAGATTCTCTGTAGTTTTCTGGAACCTTTATTTTTATTTTTTTTATAGAACTAACACCAATCCTATGACAAACATAAGATTGGTTCAAACTTTTTTCAGCCACAAAAAACGTGAGAATCACCCCCTAATACACATTCACACAGGCCTACTCTATTAAAGATAACTCCAAGATGCTTAACCTCTCCTAAGAATGATCGTGTTGTCGCATTGTCTCTATGATCGGAGATTGAATTGGTAATGTCCGGAGAAGTTCCTGAAAGTCTGCTTTTCAATATCAGCTAGTTTCTAGGTTTAAAGCACCTTGCAAGCCATCAGCATTAAAACTGACACAATGGATCAGAACAGAGATGCTTTGACTCGTGCTTGAGAACATTGTACTGTTCTTATATATAGCTATTTTCAAATGCAGCGGCGGAAATTTATCGAACTACTAATGTTTAATGTAAAAAAATAGTTGTTCTAAAAAAATACTTATAAATTAAAATAGATCAAATTGTTGAAGATAAAAGACAAGGAACAAGGTATGGGAAAGTATGGACTTAGTGAGAAATGAAAGGATAAAAAACTGGTTCAGTTTGCAAACTACCAAAACATGCATATTGCAA